TAACTAGTATAATAGTCGTAATTAGGTAAGAAAATGGGACCTCGAATAATCGAAAATAACCTTAATAAAATTTCCATGGTCCAATTTAAATAAAAAATATTTTCTCAATTTCGAGAGTCTTATTTATCTGCAAAGTCAATAATTAGATTTCATAGATTATGTTTCGAAACAGGTATGATCAGATTTTGCAAATATGTTATGAAAAATTTTTTCATGGGTGTTTATTTATTTTGTCTATTTGTTGCTAATTGAATCGGATAGTCTCGGTTCTACTGTATTTTTTGGTGAGATAACTAGAAGAAGTTCGTGATAATCTGGTTACCGTTGATATTGTCTAGCGTTGATATTTTAAACTTGAAGTGTGAAAGAATTCTGTATCTCTATAAAATCGTAATAAGTTATAAATTACATTTAAAGTTTTATTAAAATACGGTCGCAGTCTTTCGAACTTGCTCTATATTAGTGCTAGGCTTAATTTTATAACTGACACTGATTAATTATAGGAAACCGGTCAGAAAATCAATGGAGAGATCGATACTTCATTAATCTCTTGGATTCGAATGGGTACGACTGTTGCGACGAACGCGTTGCTGGAAAGAAAGGGCGCGAAGATGGCTCTCCTGATAAATGAGGGCTTCAAAGACCTTCTTTTCATTGGAAACCAAGCACGGCCTAATATATTCGACCTGGTTGGTAATTGCATGGCTAGCAGATTATTGTAGAATATTAATTTTTTAGCTACAGAGGGACTAGCCGCGGAGCTTTACCTCTGTACGGCAAGTTTTGACGCGGACTGCATATCATAAACGTAGCACTGCGATTTGAAACTGATAGAATTTTCCACTGTGCAATTACGTTAGATTAGACTATAATGTGTATAACTATCGAAGACAGAGAAAAAATTGTGCCGCTATAGTGGCATACCGTTCAAAAAGATGATTTACACGAAAGCCACTGTAGTGGTGTATAGTAGCTAAAAGGTTAATGATATAGAATAGGATAGTAGTTTTGAAATATCAGGAGCTAATGTTCCTTGTTTTCAGAAAGTGGTCACACCGGAAGTTCTTTACAAGGAGGTCGTAGAAGTGAAGTGTAGGGTAATACCTGCTTTACCCGATAGATGTTGCATGGATACTAAACGCTGGCGAAAAGTTAAAGGTTCTACGGGTGAGGAGTTGCTTGTAACACAAGAACTAGATGAGGAAAGACTGAAACAAGATCTGGAGCAGTTGCGACGATCAGGGATCGAGAGTTTAGCGGTAGTTCTAGCACATAGTTACATGTTAGTTGCTACAAATGATGACTTAACATCCGAGATTATTGTCAACTGATAAATTTCTTAACTTTCTGTTATGTTTGCGTTTCTTAGGTTTGCTGGACATGAAGTTAGAGTTGGAGAACTGGCGAGGGAAGCTGGCTTCCCTCAAGTGTCCCTTTCCCACGAAGTTATGCCCATGACGAGAATTGTTCCTAGAGGCTTTACTGCTTGCGCTGACGCGTACCTAACGCCGCATATTAAACAGTATTTAGAGGTATACACTTATAAACTTTTGCTACTTTTGTCTGACACACCATAAAAGCGATGTTAATTTAAAACAATGACCGATCTTTGAACTAGATAACTCTTTGAAAGAAGATTATTCATTTTTTAATTCCTCAGCTACTACACACACTTGATTACATTTGACTACAACGCCTTGATTCTATGACAGTAATCGACGTCCGTATTTTAGGGTTTCTCTTCTGGATTCAAGGATAAACTTAAAGGAGTGAATGTTTTATTCATGCAGAGCGATGGTGGACTGACTCCTATGAACTCGTGAGTCTTACTTAATCCTTATAGTCTACACTTACATAATTTTACAAATTTCTGGTCTATGACGATTAAATTAAGTTGATAGTAATTAATATTAATTCTCTATTTCATGAATTAAAAAAAATATATGGCTGTTATTCTATTTAAATGCTGGTGTGGTAATGAAATAAATAAGAAAATATTAATACATATACTGGTACAGATTAAAAAAATCTAAGTTAATCAACATTAAAATCGAAAATTAAATTTCTAATCGGGAACGGAATGCAATAGAGGGTTGAACAAGCCAATCCTACTTATTTAAGAATTTATTAATTAATGAAGTAATAAATTCAAGTCGGTTTATAGTAAGTTTATTTCAAATTTTAACACTTTCTAGGTTCAACGGATCCCGAGCTATACTTTCTGGTCCAGCCGGTGGGGTGGTTGGTTATGCGATGACCACTTACGGCAAGGAAACCAATTTACCAGTGATCGGGTTTGATATGGGCGGAACTTCCACAGATGTAAGTCGTTACGGTGGTAGCTACGAACATGTGTATGAGAGCACCACGGCTGGCGTAACGATTCAAGCCGCGCAGGTATCATTTTTTCATTTCGTCACGATTTCTAGACTCGCAACGATGTCACGTCACCATAAATATTATGGGTGCAGTTGATGGATAAGCTACAAAGTACTTATAAAATTCTCTTAGAGCCTGCAAACACTCTTTTCATTAGTTAAAAAGTTCTTTACAGAAACGAAAAGTGAATGAGTTTCAGAACAAGCCCAAGGTGTTTCAAGATAATTCCAATGAATTGGGATTTCATTTGTTTCATTTAGAAAAACTGTGTCTTCAAAATAGAACAGAATAACGTATGTGAATTTGATAGTAGTAGCTTACATTGTATGCCTAGATTTTGATGAAACTTTTTGAACTGATAGTGCATATTCGAATTTTTATTTTGATCTAACTATCACAGTACTTTTTCACGAAATTCTGTAAGAAATGTTGAGCCTTAATTGAAGTATAGAAATATTATTTATTTATTAGCCCTCGGTAGACGGCGTAGTAGGGAATGTAGGGTCAAAGTGACCCACGGCAAAAATTTGTTATTCTTATTTGTAATTTAAGATTACATATATATAATATTTATTCTAGTTAAGAGCAATTAATTCATAAAGTACTTGTATGCGCCATATGATTATGATATATAAATTTAGTACATACTTCGCATCTTATACAATATACAATTGGGTCAAAATGACTCTGACTCTACTTTGGGTAAAATTCCCAAATCTTATCCATCATCTGTGCTTTTCCAAATTTTGAAATCAATGAGGAAGTCCAGCAGTCCAGAAGAAAAATAAAGAGATTGTTAAGATTGAAAGGACTTTATCATCGATTGGGTGAATCTGTCGTTGATCGGGACAGGCCATTTCGACGATCTTAAACGTCACGGAATTCGGTTAAAGTTGGACGTGAACACAGTAGCGGCAGGGGGTGGATCGATGCTTTTCTTCAGGTCGGGATTGTTCGAGGTCGGACCTAGAAGTGCGGGAGCTCATCCTGGTCCCGCTTGTTACAAGAAGAACGGCCCTTTGGCAGTGACCGATGCGAACCTGGCGTTGGGAAGGCTGTTGCCCGAGTACTTTCCAAAGATATTTGGTCCTAATGAAAATGAGCCACTAGATAAATCGCGGACGCTCGACGCATTCAACACACTAACCAATGAAGTACGTAGGGCGTGGTTACGTTCAAATTGTGAAGTTAGAGGATGGAGAATTTGGAAATGAAAGTAATAGATCGATTGAAACTATTATTCATAATAGAATTCTTCTTTCTTTATAAATATTAAACTTTGTTACTTAGGAGACTGTTAAGAAATTATGAAGACAATGTTGAATTTCATTCTGGTTTATAGATAAACGAATTTCTAGAGAGAGAAGGACAAAAATCGAAGAGTAAGATGACAATCGAAGAAGTGGCAATGGGATTCATCAGAGTCGCCAACGAAACAATGTGTAGACCAATAAGAGCTTTAACACAGGTCTGTTTAATATTGATATGGAAATTATTATTTCGTAAATGATATTGTTCAGTTAGAAATAATGATTCGACAGTTTCAACGATTTGAAAGGACGTAATAAAATAATGAATATGATTAATGAATCGTATTTATAATCAGCTTCTTCATCAGTATTCTTTTATTATATTTTTCAAAATTTGGGTCAGACTGATCCACTTATACAGATTACAATTTCAAATTCCGCAGAAGGTTTACGTATTATATATTGCGTTAATACTGCAAAAATAATTCGTCAAATTGCTGTCTTTTTTTTTATACGACAGGCAAAGGGGTACGACACTTCTCGTCACGTTTTAGCTTGTTTCGGAGGTGCCGGAGGACAGCATGCGTGTGCGATTGCACGGTCGCTCGGAATGGGCACAGTTTTCGTTCACAAATATGCAGGAATTTTGTCAGCCTATGGTATGGCCTTAGCTGACGTAGTAGAGGAGGCTCAAGAGCCTAGCGCTGAGACTTATGATACTGGTATGTCACAAATAGTTTCGAAAATACCAACTTATCATGAATTTGATTACAATATAGTTGGTTACTTCTAATCTAGAATCTTTCGCACGCCTGGACGAGCGATTGGACGCTTTAGGAAAAAGAGTTCGAGCCAAGCTATTGAAGCAAGGCTTCTCCGATTCTCACATAGTCATTCAGCCATTTTTACATCTACGTTACCAGGGAACGGACTGCGCACTGATGTGCCCACCAAATCGGAAGGGGAATGAAAATAAGGGCATGAAGCACGGTGATTTTCTGACTACGTTCCTAGAAAGGTGAAGCTTGCTGTAGTGAAATGTATGCTGGTAAAATGGAAAAGAAAAATTAATGATGATCGTGTTTGATATAGGTATCAGACAGAATTCGGTTTTACCATGCCCAATCGAAAAATTTTGGTAAACGATGTGAGAGTGCGGGGTGTGGGGAAGACAGATGTAGAAGAGGATCCGATTCTATCCTCATCTGAAGAACCTCCGAAAGTAGAAAAGGCAAGTGAAGAATAAAGATTAACATAACATTTAAAAACACGTCAATATTTGAATACAGAAATTATAAATATTATTTTTGAATAATTGATGTTGACTTTGATGAGAGTAACGAAACTATTTAATTTTCAAATCATTTCGGATATTTAACCCTTTAAATCTAGTAGATCTACCCTTAGATCTAGTAGTACTAGGGCTAAGAAGTGCAGCAAAACACTTAATAGAAACTTTTTTTAGACAACCATGATCTATTTCGAGACTGGTTACCTAGAGACGAAAGTGTACCAATTAGTTTCTCTGTCGCCTGGACACACGATTTCTGGACCAGCTATTATAATGGACAGCTTAAGCACCCTTCTAATCGAACCCGATTGCAACGCATCGATCACTCCTCGCGGCGATGTCAAGATAACGATCGGTCAAGGCCTGAGGACGGAGGTCACGACCGATTTGGATGCAATACAACTCAGCATTTTCTCCCATCGATTTATGAGTATCGCCGAGCAGATGGGCAGGTAGATTGAGCGATAACATGCATTTAAAAGAATCTCGTGAGCTACTCAGAGTTTCATAAATTGGGACTTCGAAGGATACTTCAGAGAACCTCGATCTCGACGAACATAAAGGAACGACTGGACTTCTCCTGCGCGGTTTTCGGGCCGGATGGAGGACTCGTTTCCAATGCACCCCATATACCGGTTCATCTGGGCGCCATGCAGGAGACGGTGCAGTACCAAATGAGAGCGTTCAAGGGTGAATTTTCGAGAGGCGATGTCATACTCGCAAACCATCCATCAGCCGGCGGATCTCATCTTCCGGATTTCACTGTCATAACTCCCGTATTTTACAAGTACTTATTTTCTTCTGCTTTTGATTAAATATCCAGCAGTATTTGAAAATGTTGTGCTGAATATTTTATTACAATTGTTCTATAATAAGGAATTGAGACATGTTCTGAGTTATTATGAATATGGTATAATAGCAACCTACAGCATACAATGTAGCTATTTTTTGTAGATAATTTAATTATCTACTAACAAGGATAGTAGATAATAGATAGATAGATATATAATGTTTACAGAGACGTAGAAAAACCGGTATTCTTCGTGGCTAGCAGAGGTCATCATGCTGATATCGGTGGAATTACACCTGGTTCCATGCCACCGCACTCTACCACGTTGCTCCAGGTATAATATTAATTTTAACACTAGATTTACTGTTATTTATTGCACACCTTATTGTATCATTCCTAGGAAGATAGGTGTTTACTTGTATAGATCCTAAAGATTAGATCTTCGGAAACAAAGAATTAAGATACATATAATCTAGATATAAACTTTTACTGAACAATGCTTATAAAATTTGAATTTCATGTATATATCAATATTCAGATTTAGATTGGTAAGATCGTTCCTCTAGGTCCAGTTTAAATTCTCTTACCCGCAATAATATTTATCCTCTTTAATTCCTGTTAAGAAGAAACACATTTATCTAACAGGAAGGAGCTGCTTTTAAAAGTTTCCTCTTGGTGCACAAAGGGGTTTTCCGCGAGAAAGAATTAACGGAAGAGTTGATGGCCCCGGGAAAGATTCCAGGAAGTTCTGGAACTAGAAATCTCTCTGATAATCTAAGTGATTTGAAGGCGCAGATCGCGGCTAATCACAAGGTAAGAAATCTAATGATTCAGAAATGAATCTTTAAAATCATTCTTTTATGAACAAATCTCAAGAATTCTTTGAAATTTCTACACAGGGTTCATTGTTAGTAAACGAATTAATCGACATATACGGTCTAGATGTCGTCCAAGCCTACATGGGTCATATCCAACAAAACGCTGAAATGGCTGTGAGAGATATGCTAAAATCCGTAGGGAGAAAGCTTCTCGAAGAAACTGGCAGTACCATTGCAACTGCGGTGGATTATATGGACGATGGAAGTCCCATTAAGTTCGCTTTGGATATTGACATCGAGAGGGGCGAGGCTGTCTGTGATTTCACGTAGGCTCATTTTAATTATCGGATACAAATGTCGATGGAAATGATTGCAAATTTAATGAAATATTATAATTACAGTGGAACTGGGTACGAAGTGTGGGGCAACTGCAATGCACCCCGTGCTATTACTTTGTCTGCTTTAATTTATTGTTTGAGATGTATCGTTGGTCGAGACGTTCCTTTAAATCAGGTATTACCGGTGTTCCTTCAAGATTAGAATATTATTAATTAACTACATACCATTATTAGAATATTAGATTACGCTACACCAAATATTATTATTACTATATTCACGAAATATTATTAGTAAAATATTATAACTTCATTATACTTAAGCTTGAATTTTCAAATTTTATTTTTCGGTAAAGCGAAGTAATTTGTTACCAAAATAAATTTAATTTTTATATTAAATTTATTTTTATTAGAAATTTTGAACTAAGTACTTTAATTATAAATTGAAATTATATTATATATCATGTTATATATATATATATATATATATATATCATTGCATATATGTTCAGAATTTTCTTTTATGTAATCATTCACGAATTATTAAACCTGCGATTCATAGATAAGATACATTTATTATTAATCATTCTCTGTTGCTTTTACTCGTTTTAAGGGTTGTCTCAAGCCCGTGAAGGTAATCATTCCCAAAGGATCCCTCTTAGACCCATCAGAAGAAGCTGCAGTGGTAGGCGGCAACGTTCTAACGTCTCAACGCGTGGTAGACGTAATTTTGCAAGCTTTCGGGGCATGTGCTGCATCACAGGGTTGTATGAACAATGTGACATTAGGTACTGAAGAGTGGGGATACTATGAAACTGTCGCTGGAGGCAGTGGAGCTGTAAGATATTTACTACTTTATGAATAATTCTAAGATGAAACAATATTTTTTGGCTTCTGTATTATTGCGCGATCGCAATAGTATTATTTTATTCATTATATTTATTTTCAATAAAAGGGGCCAACGTGGGATGGCAGAGGAGGAGTTCACACTCACATGACCAATACTAGGATTACAGATCCTGAGATACTGGAGCTTCGGTATCCAGTCATCCTCAATAAGTTTTCTCTACGTCCTAGAAGTGGAGGGGATGGTGCTCACCGTGGAGGCGACGGTGTTGTCCGAGAAATGACTTTCAGGTAATTAAAATAAGTATTACCTCTTTTATTTATAAAATTAGTGAATATGTCTAGTTTTATATATTTTATCAAGAACAGGAGATTGTACTACGGGTTAGAAAGTTTTCATACATTTTCTATAGAATTATTACATTCTGCATAGATTTGATTATTGTTCAATAATCATAATATTGTATATAATGTACGCCTTTATTAGTTTTTTGATTAGCTGAATTTCTACAATAATCTGAAGTAAGAACGTTATATGAATCTTAATAGATTTATTGAAGCTCCTTTTTATAGCAATTTATTCAGTTTATTATACGAAGTAGAAATTGTTTCAACCAAAGTAGAATCAAATAATCTGAAATGATTACTTTAAATGAGTATAAAGTTACTATTGCAATCTTACTGATTTTCAATAGTTTAACTTTAAATTTTATATAAAAATTCAAGAACATGTTCTGAAAAGAACACTGTTGAAAAGACTGAACAGAATAGTCTTTGTCATTTAAAAAAGCAAGTTTTTTTTTCGTTAAACAAGTAATCTGAAACTTTAATGGATCGCGTGCATGAAATAATACAAAGAAATGAAGCTCTGGTTCTTTATATTGTAAACGTTGAATACTAACGATTTTAAAACGCGGTTAAGTGTAAAGCTTTTCGTTGCTCAGTTATTCTTGCATCTACTTTACAAGACGTGCAATTTGAGAGATGTAGGAATTATAAATCTGTGACACGCTTCCTTGAAACATGTACGATTTATGGAAGCTCATACGTTTGCCCGTCTGAAAAATATGAGACTATAAGAAGGGCTCGACCAAGACTTTAAATGCGAAACAATCCACCAGATGTCAGAGAATATTGTAGAGCTCCGCAGAAAGGAGAATAAATTCTGCCGTCACATGGGGTGAAGTCAAACGTCGAGTCGCAACAAGATGATTAAGTATTCAGAATGCGACAAGAAAAATGAAAAGTTCAATAAGATTGAAAGGGTTCAATTAAGCAAAGAACTAATAAAGATATTACTAACTTCTTTGAGCGTGCCTATATATGTATATAAAAATTAATGAATTAATAATATACATTATTAGTAAATATACTACTGCAAAATTACATATAAATTAATTGTGCAGGGTATCCTGCAATTAAATGCTCAATTAGAAAGGATGTAATTTCATTTGCAAAATAAGTTAAATGCGAAAAAAAATATTTGTCTGCGTAAGACCTCTATTTGAGTACATTAGACCATTATTAATTAAAAATTGAAATAAACTATTCATTTCAGAAGAAATAAGTTGTCAATTACAAGCATAATTTAATTACAGTAATGAAATAGTATTTAATTGTAATTAAAAATAAGAGCTGCAATTACTCTGTACTTATTTTCTAGCTAAATATATTTAGCTGGAAATACAAATATAGTACATTACAATAATTGAAAAGTTCTTGTAGAAAAAGAACACTGTAGGTACCAAAATTGAAACAATGTTTTTCTATTATTTTTCTATATCATACAATTTAAGTGCAATTTTCCTTTTGTAACTAATCATCCATAATGCTAATAACATTGAAAAATGAAAATGATGTCATTATAACATAATGTTCAACGTAACGGTAGATAACTTCCTTTCTACCCCTAAAACATGTAATATATAACATTTACTTTAATCTTTTCAACAAGTATTCTTCAATGATTTGTAATCTAACGAATTTCATTCAAAGAACACCGATGATGCTATCGGTATTAACTGAAAGAAGAGTGCACAGTCCTCCCGGATTGGCCGGTGGATCGTCGGGCGAACGCGGAAAGAACACGTTGCACAGAGCGGACGGCAGGAAGATCAACTTAGGCCCGAAGACTGCGGTCGCAGTCTGTCCAGGGGTAGGGAGAGTTATCATTTCTTTTTTACAACGGCCGCTGTCAATTTCTTGAATCACAGACAGAAATTCCACGGGAATTTACGCGACACTGTAAAAACGAGCGGCGAAATGGCGAAAAATAAACTACGGAACACATCAATTTTAAGTCGCTATGCACGGTGAAATAGGAAGAAAACTGTTTGCGTTTTACGTGCCAGATCGTAAAGATTTTATCTCGGCGGGCACGATTTGCTTGTTTGCAACTCGTTTGCAACGAGCTGAATTATTGGCGATATTACGACACGGTTATCGACGAATCGAGACCACCAGCGATATTTTCTATTCGCGTGGAGTATCTTGTATATTATTCATGCGTTCTTTTCCTTTAACACTTTGGCTGCCACATGATCTGAATTCAAGAGACATCATTTTTTGCATAAATTTAAATATCTATTCTTTCGGTTCATATATTTTTATTAACCCCTTGCCCTACGAATTCTTTTTCCACTCTAACCGAGTTTGAGTTTAAGAGATTGAGTAATATTTATGTCTATTAAATCTTGTTGAAAATCTTCACCACGAGTCTGATATGTTGTTATAAAGCAAGAGGTTAATTAGGAGGTCAAAAGAACAATCGTTATGAAGAATCCTGGATTCTCAGATTCTGTTTCATTGAGTTTTTTAATTATTCCGACTTTATGGGGTATTAATGAACGTTGATTTGATGGTTAACATGTTAAAATGGCAATATATTTACAGGACACGTTTATTTTGGAGAGTCCTGGTGGCGGCGGTTATGGTTCGTCCGGTACAAGAGCTCCATTAATAAAAGAGAATGTTCAAGGATTTATCGAACGAGGAAGCGTGTTCGAGTACCGAAAAGCTCAAGAGTCTGTTTAGCTGATGCTTCGTCAATTAACAATGAAATATTATAGACACATAAATTTCTCTAGTTTCTGTTAATAAACGTTATTGTTCTTGTTTAATGGCGTTCCTGTTATGTCTCCCAATATTTCAATATCTCCCGAACCGTCATCTGCAATTGATGTTCAATTCGATTTCCAGCAAGATACACCCCGATATCTTAATAAATTGATGTTCTATTAGAATTAAATTTACCGAAACTAACATCAATTTACGTGGAAGCTTCATTCAGGTTGGGGCTCGCGATGGCGTCCGTTCCATTTCCGATCGCAGTAATTGCTGACCGAAATATCGCGACTCTGTGCACACGTACTGCTTCCGATTGCATCCCTATTTGCGAAACAGCCCGAATCGTTTCTTAGATGCATGCATCACGTGCGATGTATTTACTGTTCACTTCGATAAAAGGTAGATAAGATACTAAAAGATCTTTTTCACTCTGGTGGATTCGAAAATTCGATTTGTTAAAAGTTTTCTTGCAATGTAGAAATTTAAACATAGATTTCCAAAGGGATTTATATAAATTTCGAAAAGTAAACGAAAATATAAGCTAGATTTTGTATGCTGTATCAGAGTTTTTTTATAAACTACTCTTTAAGTTCGCTGGAAGCTAGGACAAAAGAGTACTTAAAAGGGAAGGACGAGAAACAAATTTAACTGTATATAGATAGATTTTTGAGAGAAATATTTTAACTGAATATACACGGACGAAATTGTAAAATTGGCAATCGTGCAAAAAAATAGAAAATTTTGAAGAGTTTCGTAAAAATAATTTAGAGGCTACAAAAAAAAACATTTCTATTGTAAGATACCAGCATTCGAATAGTTAATTGTTTAGCAATAACACTTATTCTTACTTCCAACTTTCACTTGAATGTTACACTGTAACAATGCAAAATTTCGAATGCAGAGGAAAAATACAATCAATCGATAAATGAAAAAAATTATTATTCGATAAAGAGGCGTTTTGTTTTTATGTCGTATAAAATTTCCTGTACAAATTTTCATTCGACTTTTTCAAATGTTCTTTTATTATCGAAACTAAAATTAAACTGATATTTAAAACATTGAATTTTTACGCCTTAAAAAGCACTTACACTTGATAATTGTTATGTTGAATTGAATATTTGTTTATTGTAACTTAGGTGGCGGTAATATTTCCATGCATGAAGAATTTTTTTATTTCAAACGACCATATCAATAGCGATTATTCCAGCAATGGAACAATATTTAATATGATATCTATAGAGTTATTCGAACTTCGGAGTATATCAATAGTTTCACCAAAAAAGTGCTTCGTATTGTTCAAATACAGATTCATTTGTAGTTATATGATATGGAAATATACCTTCAATATAGACTTACCGATCAATTTTAATGGAATCTCCAAATTTTATTATTGATTGATATTACATTTATTCGTAGTGTTATAATTACACTATACATAGGTATAATATTAATATTTCTTATATATTGTAAAAAAATGTAGTAGGACAAAATATTAAAATATATCAACCGTTCATTTTCAAAGTGACTTAAATCAGTAATAAAAAATCCGTTTAAAAATAGGATGTAATCTAGAATTGTAACTATTATAACCATTAATTTGATTTGTTTGAAAAATGGATTGATTTAAGCCAGTTTTAAAATTAAAAGATAATATATTGAATTGAATAACATCGATGAACATTTCAAAATGAATAAGAGACTGCACGATTAATAAATGTGCACGGCTTGAGATAAATATGTTTAAGTTTCATTAACCCTTGGCCTATGATTTTTTTCTCAATTCTGATCGATACGGCTACTTTGTGATTAACAATTTATTGGAGAAAGAGAAAAATTCTGAACATATGTTATGTCTATATTGCCTTTTGTGTATAATAGTTGATTATAGAAAATCTTCACCACGAATCTGACTCGTTGTTGTAGGAGAAGGGGTTAAAAGGAAATTTTGGTAATTATCTTTCTATTTTATAGCTACAACCAACCTTTTAAAGTAATATTTCACTTTGTCCGGAAGATTATGTGGCCGCTGTGCAAATAACAGTAATTCACTTTTGCTCTCTGTAGATGCATACATATCACGAAAAAGAAATATCAATATTATTACTGTAACAATCTGGACAGAGCGAATTATATTGCCAACCAAAAATATGAGCTTAAGGTTCATAATTAATAAAAGAAGATGATGCTATTTTATAACCATATATTAAAACTTGCGGAGATAGCAGTTACATTAATTATTTTCATTCCGCTTTGTTAAACGATGTTAATTAAACCCTCGCAGGATAATACCTTCCTTCTTCGTTAATGAAGGGACGTAATAATTAAATTCAGTAATTTTATATTGTATTATTTTATTCTCTTTTTCCACACTTCAGTATAATATTAATATAAAGCATAATATTGTTCATGTAAAATTCTATTTATCATAAACAATTTATTTACAATGTCTGAATCTTTTGCACATTTGTTACTCACACTTTTTGCTATTATTTTGAATTAATAAAAAATACTAATCGAAGTCTCTTTTATTCAAAAGTAATTTAATGATATAATATACGAATACTTGCTGTAATTACTAATTACGCGATAATAACGATCCACAGGCAGCTCGCGCATTGTGAATCGTAACAAATCTATATTTAGAATTTTGTAAATTCTCACAAGACAAAATATTCTTTAGCGGTCCGTTTTCTTTGCAAAGGAAAATGCTGAGAAGTAAAGAACTCCGACGGTGTCGCATTAAAATGCAACACGGTGTGCGACGTGTTAAGGTTCGTTCACAATTAGCTTGTCTGAAAGACCGGCTGATCCCGGCAGTTGTACGTGATGGTCTGTAAAGAACTGGTAGCCTACCGTAACGTTGCATTTGCGCGGGGAACGTACAGTTTCCTTTGATTTCGTGAAAAAATGGCAATCACGATGCACAAGGGACTTTGATTGAAAGCCCCGAACAGACTGATGCGGAATGAGCTTTTGTTTACGGCGTAACACGTGAATGGTTCGGAACATCAACTTCATTCGTTAACCTTAAAGAGTTTTTCTTCGTCCTTAACAAATAGTTCAACAGTCCAGAGACTAATCATCGACTTCTTCTTCGCTTACAAGCAACTCCGCAACTAATTAAGACAGTCTCATCCCAGGTTATTTTCCAGGCTTCCTGGTACCCAAGCAAATTTCTTTTTTTTAAGCTGTGAATTATGTCTCAGCCTTTTCGTTATTATATGCAACTTTTGAAGATTATAGAAAGAGACTGTTATTGATTCTGTGGTCGAAGGATTTTGCCTTACGAAGTCATCAATTTTCTGTAGTCAATTAATTTCTTTTTTAGCGGTGTATCGGAAGTCAATCGGGTACACGTGCTACAAGAGTTACTTCTGTAAAGTCATCGAAACTCGAACGAGAGACTCGACGCGAACTACTCCCGAAGCTATTAATCATTTCGTTATTGATACTTCTTTAGATCGCGAGGGAATACTGTTATTGAGTTTCTTGACGTAGATTATCTTAACAGCAATCAAATTGTAGAACACGTTTAGTATGTTTCGTTGCATTAAGAAATACAAGATAGCTCCTACAAGCTTGAGAATTCATACATTTCAAAAGATTTTATTTTATTATGATGTTATACGTTTCACCTGACTTGTGTCTTTATTATTTTACAAAATAAAGCTGTACATAGAAGTTATTTAAAATTATAGAAAAGAGAATAGGATACTCATGAAGATGATTGAAATGAAAATAGTGTAACAACCTATTTTTTAATTTTTATTTTCAAGAAAATTAATGATCTTTTTGACGGTACGAAGGGATATGAAAAGTTAATTAATATATTTCCGGAAAGAATAGCGTTTTTATGCCATAATTTATAACCATTGCGTTCGAATAGCTTTCGTTTCATGTCGAAAGGATGAAGCCGAGGTCTAGGGGACAAGTAGTCACGTTATGATCGGAAAGCGATAAACTTTCCACGAAAATTTTACGAATGCTTCAGCTTCGGCAAAGGGAGAAGCAGAAAAGTTGCATGAAAAACGGCAATAGTTTGGTGAAGTTTCATCCTCGTTCTTACAAACTTATATCCTTCTCGTCGATACGCGCGCAGGACTCGTCTGCTAGTAAAACCGATGCTCGATTCTCTAGAAATCTTGCTGTCGTTGTAAGAAAATTTTATACTGATAGAAATATATATATCGAAATATTAAGTGTTAAACTATATATTCGAACAAATAATAAAATCATTTTAATAGGAATCTTTACTTCCAACAGTTATTGGATAACGTAGTAAACGAAAAGCAAAGAAATCTTACTATCCTAATAATATCATATTACAAATATTTTTACACTTTATTTACTTTTCGGTTTTTATAAAACATTCTTCCATGTTCTTTCCTTGATGTTCGTGTTTGGGTACTTCAATGCACTGTAATACTCAAAAATGCTATTTAAAATGGGAAGAAAAATTAAAATAATTCTTTGTTAGTCCATTAATACACAGAGTTACTTAGCATCATGTGTGTATATATACATGTGAAACATTGCGGTTATAATTCCCATGGTTAGCATACAGATAGATTTTAATATGGAAAATTTGATCTCGCTGTTATTACATGTAATCCTATACCTAAAACCATTCTTGTTCTAATTTCATATTCCAAACAATACATAATCATTTCCAATAAAATAGCTTCAACAATTATATTGTAATTTTATGTTACCAAATTATATTATATTTTAAAATTTTATGTTACCAAATTATATTACATTTTTAAATCTCATGTTTCCAAATTATATTGTATTTGTTAATTTTACGTTATCAACATTATTTTCACAATTCCAGTAATAATATGAATAGACCAGGAAAATGAATTTTAGTACGAGTTTTCAGGATGACCTAAAATTTCCGAGTCAATAAATTTCGCGTCCGCAGAACCGTCGACGTAAAACTCGCAGTTCCGTCCTCGAGATGCCTTTTAATTCGTAAGACAGGTCCATCTGTGTTTAACTTGAACGATCGACCGCTCCCCGAAAATGTCT